GAGAGAGATACACACAGACTGTGAGTAACTAGTGTCCACAACCACTAAACTGAATCAATACATCAAATGTCTTTGTCACCTCTGGGCAAGGAACATCGAAATTTAGCTGAAACTTTCGTATTTGTTTGCGTCAAGGTAATCAGAATGGTGTTTAGCTGATGGTCTAGCTCGAATTTGCGAAGAACCGACGATCACTGACATACGAAGTCCATGTGGCGAAAGACATTTCGCCGATGGAACAATGGCAACACTTCCGCTCTATGGCAGATGACCAATCCTGTTCCATACCTGACAGATGTGGATCAAATACATTACTCGCTTCATAGGCATGAGTTGAGAAACTAACTAAACGTGGCCGAAAATAGTTTTGAGGTTTTATTGTTCCATTGTGTAAACCATTGCCAATTGCGAAGCATCAAGTCAGGATATGTGAAATCAAAAAGAACATTCACCAGCTTGATGGATTTTATACTAACGTTACTACCCTTAATGAGCGGTGGAGCTGAACATGATCATACTCGGATTCCTGCCCCGTTTACGGATAATTCCGCAAACTGCGTTTGCATAAATCCCGTTAGAGCTTCACCAAATATTTGAAAAATGCAAAGTTCAGCAGCTTTTATCGCAAATATGAGGCTTTTTCTACCTGGAGAAGTATTACCAAGCAGAACGAAGCGAAAGTTCAGTGAAATTGTATGATGGACGCAACCAAACGCTAGTAAGCGAATTGCACCACGTAAAATTTCTGTAATTTTTCGAGTACAAAAGGGAATCTACGATACTGATGAAATCATGTTGGGACTAAATTAGCTGTGCACTTTTTATGTATTTTCTTCAATTGATTATAAAAAATAATGGGGTTGCGCTAGCTTCTATATCATGTTGTCCTGAACTCATCCGGGAAAGTAATAGGCAGAACTCGTAAGTAGAGCGTGTCCTACGGCTCCGTCCGGATTCGAACCCTTGATCGCAAACAGTTTATTTCACTAGTCAATAGCTTATATTATCGAGAAATGGTAATCGGCAAAGGTCATCTTGAATTACAAGCTAGTTGCTGTACGGTATAAGTGATCCCTTATGCTCAGCAGAACGAGCAGCTGGATGACGGCCCTTTCGCTTTCGGATCCTGATGGGTCGTGAGATTTTTGCTCCTGTACTGTCGCGGTAGGTTGTATCGGGATTATAATGCGTTTCCAGGCATGCGGATATCTATCAGGTTTGAAAGGTATTGCTGAGAACTCCTAATCTGGAAACCCCTCCTCATGAATACATTGAAACTAGAGGTTAATTAAGTCGGTCATTATGGTGTGAGAATCCGTAATAAGCAAACTAGTACCTTTGCCAATCCCTTTCACGGTTTATCGTAATTTTTTATTATGGTTTTTATGAATTTAATAATTCAAGGACGAGCATCGTAATATGAGAACTTAGGTGAGTCTCTCTTGTGACGTGATAACTCTTTTGATTGTGCAATCAGGATCCCTGGGCACTCAGTGATTCAAGCGAAGTTGGGATAAACGTATGCACAGGTAATCGACTTTGCAAATGGACGAAATTTTGGGAACGCTAGTGCCTATCTTCTAATCAGCAAGCAAGTATTTAGCAATAGAAATTATGAGGTAACTAGGGATAATCCGTCTGGCCATCCGCACAGTTAATGTTCTGTTCCTTTCTCCAAGTTACAATGAGATTTTTAGTCTACGGGAAAAAACAGAAACTTACCAAATCACCACACTAAGTCTGGGCACAACAATCGATGTACAACCATTGGTGAACGAAGGTTATTACTTTTTCACCGTCTACTATTTATTTCTGTAGGTTGTATATGCAAATGTATCCTTGAAATCCAAACATAACCCCTTTATGCTAGCAAAACCTAAAGTGAGGAAAGTTTCGTACTCGTTCATCCGCTCTATTCTAAATTCAGTGTTTCCATTATCATGCTACTTATTTTCGCTTATGTTCAGTCTAAAGAAGCACTATTTACAAGGTCAGAACCTAGATGCTTTAGCCTTAGGGAAAGTCTGGAATGCCCTTGTTCAATATTTTGATGGGCCACTCATCAGATGTCTTCCACAGGTATCCTGGATGCCGGATCAGCTGCATGGTATCCACTTGTCAAAATGTGCGTCACGTCTAAAATCCAGTCAACCCGAGCATTGTTTACTAACAAACTTCCATGACTATTGTCGCTTTTTCTTTCTCAAGTAAGCAGTCACCAGTAACTTAACTAGTTTCCATGATTGTTCTTCAATACATGGCTGCAGGAATGAACAAACTTCATTGTGATTTCTCTTTGGAAGCTCTTATTGGTGGAATTCGTCTCCCGTAAATTTCCCACAAATCTGGTTGGTCAGGCATTCATTATTGAGAATCTGTGCGTGTGCGTGGGATGGGCTTTGTACCACATATGTTTTTCTTGTTGTACTCACTTCCTTAGAAAGTACTACAACTTAGTTTGCTATCCGTTTCCATACTCAGCACCGCATCCTTAGGGCAAGCTTTATGTTTCTACAACGGTTCACACTAGTTTCCTACCTCATATAGGCAAGCAAATTGGAATGCATCAGAAACATGGCACGCATGTGGAATACACTGTATCCTCAGTGAGTGTTCCTGAATACTCTAGTTTGGAAAAACAACGTAGGTGTATCAATACGAACCGAAACACCACAGCACATCTAGCTGTTAAAGAACATAACATGTTCAATCTGTGCAAACTCTTACTTTCATTCACATTCCTTATCGTATACTTCGAATCTGTTGTTTGGATCAGTCCACTAATCGCAGTGGAAGGTCGGAGGATTGACGCGGACCATTTAAAAAGATCTGCTGCAGTTTCTTCAGGCGACTTGACAGCAGACTCTGATTACGATTTGGTGAATTTCTCAGTCGATCAACCTACAGATGAGACCCTAGATCAAAGGTTTAAGCAACGTCTGAAGCAGGAATCGACCGCAATCTTTGAGGACGAACGCGCATTGAAAAACATTATGGACCAAATGGCTGCCTACTATTTGACCTATGGAAGGCCGAGGTGAGTCATAAGTGATTTGAAAAAAGCGGTGATCAGTGAAAGGTGTGGTCTTTGCCTGTGCCACCCCAAATCACTTTAGTTATCTGTCATGCATAAAATACGCGAGGGGTTAGTTACCTTCTTGTTGCTTTCTATCAGCTGAAAGCACTTTGTGGGGTCGTTGAAACCCTAATTTCAGTAGCGTGAAAATCTTCAATGGTGTTATTGTTGTTGACGTTGCGTTTATACTCCTTCACATACGATAACCAGTTGGGCGTAAGTTGCAATGATGTTTGGCCAAAGCTCAAATTCCCACCCCGTGGTCACATGTTGAGAAAAATTGAATAGTGACCGAACTAAAGTTTATGCAGAACTTTGGATGTTGAACGGGATAAAATTCAGTGACAGCGGATTTGTGCTACGTAAATCTGCGTGTGAACTACAGCACGGGATTCCAGGGTGGCCAAACGGGCTCATGTGATCCACTATGTCACAAATGACTCCAAGAAAAACAAGAGAATAACAACTAGTTTAAAAAACGATTACCGCCAGGAGAAGGTCACCCTCAAATCCATAACAACTGTCAAGATCACTGTGTCAAGTTTACACCCGGGCGTTATTTTGCCTGAAAAATAGATTCCCAGGGTAGTTGGTGGTCAATAAATCACACAAGAAACATCAACAGCTGAGACGCATAGCTGCTAATTTGGTGGTAACGCTGATGTTTTCATAAGTAAGCAAAAGATGATTGTTTCCATTTTAATGTTCCCACTCTTTCCGATTAACCGGGTAAGATTGAATTTGACGCGGTTGTATGAATTAACGAAGACTGAGTAGTTAATAAAATAAGAAAGCAAGTAGAGGAGGATCAAAATTCAAAATTATCATTAAAAATAACCCAGCTATGTGGCCAGTTACAGGCAATTCATCATCAAGAGCAATTTACCTTCAACACATCAAACATTCGCGACCAACTTCCGATCCATTACGAGTTAACTTAATTTTTACATGTTAATGCGTTAATGTAGTTCATCTAATTTAACCAAAATATACAAGAGATTTATGTTAAAGCAGTTGGCGGCAAGACGCATGCAAATTCACGAAAAAGAAGCAATAATGGGTAGCTGATTCAATCTTGAGAATCGGTACCAGAGGTAAATCTCAGAAACAGGTATTTGTATCCGCCGGTGCGGTTTGCTAGCTGGAACCCAGTGAAGTCTATAGTCGAAGAGTGGCTTGGAAACTCTTTCAGATTGTGCGTATAGGATAACCGGGTGATCAGGTTTGTTATGAATTCTACAGTTCCACCTGAGTGTAGCTTAACCACCGGCCGAAGTGTGTAGGTTTCTTTTCCCAAAGATTTAACTTCCGTCAGTGACTTTTGCAAATCATACCGACTTCAACAAGCGTTGCAGGAGAAATCACACGAAAAAGCCTTTAATTAAGTAGTCAGGATTTTAGATGCCACGCATCTCTTTCCTCCGTTACATTTTTACTAGAGTTTTAACTACCTAGATTGTAGCTATCAAACAAGTGAATTAATCCTACACTGCAAGTAGTGAGTTGAATCACCGCCTAGAATGTGGTGCTTCATATATGCTGATCGAAGACGCTTGCTGAAGCAATCCCATTACTTGCTTCATATGTTCATTAACAGTAACTGCATCAAAAATTATACCGAGAATAAAGTGTGTACACTTCAGGCCCTACAAACTATACAACGGAAATTGACCTAAAACTTTTTCACAACAGTTTGTTCAAAAGTGCGGTGACCTTTGTAATTTCTGTTGTGTCCGACTTGTCGCAAAAACACACACTGTAGTGATGAAAATTGAGCACAGCAATATGCTCGCTTTTCAACATTCCTAGCCAAGAACCAACACAAATGGGCAAGCAATTAACTGAATGACGGCAATAATAGAAAACTAAGACCAAGATGCAAGTGTAAGCACCCAGACAAGATTATATTCGTCAGAGTGAATGTCAACTACGGTTCGAGTCACTCGGTAGCCTAATAGGGTATTAAAGCGTCTATACTCGTTTTAGAAGTAAAAGTGTTATGAATGTTGTTTCCACAGTCCCAATATAGTACCATCATTATGGTATACAAATGGTAAACAGGGCTGGCATTCACTGAATTGGCCACATTTTCCCTGTGACACACTACATTTAGCAGAGAGGTTGCTCCGTACACACTAGGTTAACAAGGTTTGTTGCAACAGCTAGAAACTACTTGCGTAATGTGACCGACACCTTTGAACAGACTGGTAACTCCGATGACATTAAGTGCATGAGACTGCAACCTCCGCCCACATTTGGCTGTAGAGCATTGCAGTGATATTTGGGACGGTGTATCTGGGTGTAGTGATCAGTAGCTAGATCCTCGGAACTTGCATAAATAACAATAATCATCAAGGGCTCCATGTTTATCAGAGTTAGTCTTAGTGATGTACTCACGGAACGAGCCTATTCCTACCAGATACCATTAGTTCTTGCTCATTAAGAATTGGCGTCCAACTAGTAGCGTAACGGCACATTGTGCGGACGAAGTTGAGAATATATTCCTAGTTCTTAAGATATAAGTAAACAGAAGGCACCATCATTATCACGTCAAATTAACATATACTGTGAAAGCATGCACCAAACATGTCGAAGGTATAAGGACTACATCATAGTCTATATATATATATATATATATATATATATATATATATGACTCAGGCTGAGGTTCATATTACATCCATGACTCTTTTTCATCGCAGTTGATCTACACCGAGACAGACTAGGTCTTCTTAACCTAGAAAAGCATTCGTTTTTATTTGATTTGCTCAGTTCCGTTTTATCCTGCGGATTCTTCTCAAATTTGCGTGTTAACTTTTCTGCCAATGCTTCATTAGCTGTTTGATATCCCCAGTGTAGCCGCGCTTATTGTGAGTCTGTGCTAAGGTGTCTACATGACTACCACACTCCACTCCGATTGCACGTTCCAGGAAACTGTGTAGGAAACTGTGGATAGTTGCTGCGGTGGATAGGGTGCACGGTCCCCGCGGCTGCGCTATGCTCTAAGTGGGGTTCGAGTGTGGAGCGGAGTACTCTCAAGCCACCGCCTAGTGTACATCTTGTAGGGATTATTCCTAATTTAAATAAACAGGAATGCTGCTGTTGTCGAAGTATTGGCCGGCTCCGTTGATGAAACCTGGCTACAATCTACGTGCCTCCCGGTCTTAGTCCATCGGGTTTATAATGGATTTGGGTGTATAGATGGAGCTGTGGGTGGTACAACGCAAGATACCCATGGTCCCTCTGTAGGCACAGAAGTCCTGCGGCTGTCAAATGGAGGCCGCAGTGACATGCAAATCCGGAACCGGATGCTGCCAATCAATATATATATATATATACTTTTTTTAAATATACTGTGGTGGCCGCGTTTGGCCAGCATGATGACGAACTCGCATGCCTGGGCTACTCCATAGCATGATTGTCCCATATGGATGTTCTGGGGCCAAAACAGCCATCCCCTATTTGCATTAATTTCTACGCTTTTCAGTTTCCAACTACTTTAAAACACCCTATTTACAAGATCACTGATGGTAAATTAACTGAAACTCAATACTTTCACTAAATACTCGAAATAAAATATGGAATGTACAACGGATGTACACCGGATCCCTCGAAGCTCTCACATGGACGATATGTGAATATGTGCAGGTAAAAGCGGCAACAGCAATGAAAACCTTGAGATTTGGTCAAACGTAAGGCTTTGTACACAAATGTGACCGAGCAACCACGTTGAACGCTAATTAATAATGTTGTTCAACTGGGAATGTTGGTTACCGTCGTCCCATGAAGGTGAATTGAGCATAATTCATGTGTTATTGGACAAGAGGTAGGGTCTAAGTGTTCGATTCTGGAATTGTCAACATTGGATGTGAACAAGTTTTCAGGAACACTCCAAAAGTATACCAATAATCCCTAGTTAATTTGATGGAGCGCCGCAAAGTTATGCAGCATGAGTTGTTGCTTTACAAACTGTAACCAAGAAATTCCCATTCAGAACAGGATTATAAGTCTACGTTTCTATAAAAGGAGATGCAGTACTCACGACTAAACCTGCTCAGTTGTACAGAATTTACAGTAAAACCTACAATGGGTTCACTATCATTAATAGATTGTGCGCCTTTACAAAGAACTCATTCGTTCTTGACAGATAGCTTTGCCATTGAACAGGGATCGAACTACCAGTGGCAGCAATTTCTGCCCTCTTGATCTGAACAAAATACCATTTTCTGACTTTCCACAACAGTAGCGAAAACACGCTAAGAAGTCAACTTTTAAACTAAAGGAAACTTTCATTGAGACATGGCTTTTAATAGTATATAAGAAAGATTTTTGAATGAGAAGTACCTCGAGAAACATGATACAGTAAAATAAACTGTTAGGAAACCAGGATTGGGCAGTGAGGTTTCTGCTTAGGTCAATATCCAATTGAAACAACAACATGTAGCACTGCAGCCATGAATTTATAATTTGAGGAATGTAGCAGAGATCTGTTGAGAGGAGAGGATGCCATACCGTCTATGTTCTTATTGAAGAGAATACATGACGGAAATAGGCTAGATTTGTTGAGACAAAGAAAAAGACAGGCGAATCAACTAACGTGCTACAGGACAAAGAGGCTGATGCTGTATTGTCTGAAAGTCGTCAGCTTTATTAACAAAAAGGAAAGAATCCTACATTAACGATAACGATATGGAGGTGTGACGCAACAGTACTATGTTATTTCGCAATAATTCCGCATCGGGTATTCATCGATATTGGTTTGCATACTTATTTGGGAGGAGGTGATTTAAACACGAGAGAGTACTGTAGATGAACACAAACGCATAAAGCGAATTATTTAAAATAAATATGCAAAAAATAAATGGGCATATTTTCCCACATGTGGGGATGGAATGCTATATGATAAAGCAAATTGTAAAGATGGATTACGGTTTATCGCATATAAGATCTTAATTATGCTGTCTA